AAACGGATTACGATAAAATTAGCAAGGTTCTAACGACGGACGGTACTCGACAAAGATGGTTGTTTGGGCATGACGAAAAACAAGGCAAGACGCTGACGCTTATGACGAAGGGACCGCTTAGTTATAGCGTGCCACGCGACCCCACATGACCAACAACACCAAGACGCCACCACACACCCTAGGACCTAGGTTCGAGGACGAACCAATGAAGAGGAGGAATGGTGTTACGATCCGTGACTAGTAACAAGAGGAAACTGCTCACTAGTGATCAGTTTCGAGGATCCGAAGGATGCACTACGCCGCAATCCTTCGCAGCCGTGCCGCAGTCACGTGACCTGCTCAGTGATCAGTATGTCTTGGCACTACTGAGCAACTGAGCACTTTGCATGTAACCTGCAAGCTGCTCAGTGATCAGTACCTCTTGGCAGTACTGAGCAACTGAGCATATTGCATGAAACTTTAGTATATAGCACTAGGCATTGAGCCCTTATGGCTCAATGTGTTCAACTTAAGTTTTAAGTACAAGTACAATACAGAGAGTTATTCTACTTGCACGTTACTGTCCTCGTTTGCACCCTGTCACTCTATCTGCGAAAACCAACCAACAAGAAGATCAATACCAGAAGTCTTATATTACTTCCACTTGATCTATACTCTTAACAGTAAAGTAGCTTAATTATCTGCATAGACTTTTATATCTAAACAGTTCTCTACTAGCTCTATTACTTTTTCTAGCCCTAGGGTAATACCTTCTAGTTTACTGTTGTAAACTAGTTGGTTATTTCCTATAGTATATTGTTCTTAGGCTATTTGTGTTGTTCCTAGATAGAATACAACCCCTACTCCTACACCTTTGCCTTGCTTTATAGCTAAGGCATTAGAATAAATAGATAGGAGGCTGTTATCTACTAGTTGTTCCTTATAGTTCTTTACTTCTATGTCTTTAGGCTCTTTAGATATATAGACCTTGTATAGGATATTTAAGTTCTAAGGTGTAAAAGCGTAATGTTGTATCTCCTTAGTGTTTCTAGCAAGGACTGTGGAGATAGATCTAGTGATCTGATCTAGTTGTTCCCCTTTATTGCTAGTTATAGCAATATTAATTGGGTGGTTTAGGGCTAGTTTTTGAGCTCTAAAGGCGTATTGTCGAAGAGCGTTGTTTAACCTTACTCTAGGTGGGTAAAGGCAGGCCTCTACCTCACTAGGTATAGTTGGGGAGGTCTTAAATGTGCCTAGAATCTTCCTACACGCTCTATTTTGTAGTAATTGCCTTTGTTTAAGAGCTAGTTGTTGTTGTTTCTAGAAGATCTGACAACTATAGTCTGCTACGCTAGTGATGCAGGCAAGGTATAATTGTCTAAAGGCTCTAGGTGATAGGCCTTTATTGCTATTTGCTAGTCTGCTTAGCCGAGTAAAGGCTTGGTTTGCCTGTTGATTTCTAATAAAGCAGTGATCCTTGAACTTAACGGCTTTGTCAAAGTAGATGCCTAGCCATCTAATTTGCTGTTTTGGTTGAAAGGTCTCCTGGGTGGGTAGTGTGAGAGAATCTTGATCCTTTTTTGTATCTAGTCCAATTTACTAGTTCAGTCTTTGAGCTGTCGAATTTGATTGCTAGCTCCTCTGCTTGGTTAAAGAGTTTTGGGTCTCTTTTTCTAGTAATTTTACGTTTTTCTTAATAGATGTTGTAGATACTGATATCTGTAGGTCGTCTATATAAGAAGAGGA